CCCCAAAACCCCAAAACCCCAAAACCCCTTTGAATAGTCAAGGATTTGAAAGATATTCCTATTGACTATTTGAGTTATTACGTGCAAACTCAACATATTCATTGCTATGGTTATCTTCTTGATCTTTGCGGATGTCCAAGTGATCTGCAAAGCCAAGATGATGAATAACAATGACTTCATTATATAAGAAAACTCCAATAACAAGAACTATGAAGCCGATTAATTGTAATGGTTTGAATGATTCTCCACCCTCATATGGATAAACCAGAAAGAAAATCCAAATAAGGACGATCTTCATTTGTCGGACTACTACACGATTAGTAGAGGATATCATCTTGGTAACAGCCAGTCCAAATCCATTATAAATACAGATGAAAAAGAACACTAAAATTCAAAGGATTATCATCCTAGGCTCTGAAAATATCTGCTTTAGTGCAAACAGAGAGTCTTCCACAACGCCATGGTTGCATATAGAATTTGATCAAGGGATATATTGCAGGGCTGGAAGGATTAAGACAAGTAATATTCAGCCCCATAAACCTTCCCATGCCACTACCTCAAAGGACCTTAAATGGTATGTCCTTAATAACTTTTCTTCAGTGATAAACTGATTTCCCTGCATAATTGAGGACAGAAAAGCAGTAATAATTGCCAAAGGAGTATTCCCATCTACAGTTTCACTCTCATGTAGAAATGCTGATAGCGCAACCAATAATAGGCCGATTACTACCAAAGTTGCACCTAGGTAATGATGTCTGTAAAGTTTATTTCCCTAAGAAAAAAACTGCTTCAATTGCAACTACAAATATAATGGAAGAGCCTATCATTTGAGCCACACTCGCTTGTACATTGATATAACTTACAATCATCAGAATAGTAGCAGTCACATCACAAAGCATAGGGATAGCCAAAACTAGTGGGTTATAATCAGTTCTGAGTCTCTTCTCTCTAATAAGTAAAGCCTCAGGATTGTTCTCAGATGATTCATGAGCTCCACTTTCACTACTAGAACGAGACAGTGGATATTTCCTATTTATCTATCCAATCCTTGACCCACACGACTATAAAACTTCACATCTCTCCTATAAACAAGAGCAAGGTGAGGAAGAAGGGGTGGTGGAAGTACTCCCCTTCAGAAAGGGAGGAATTTAGTAGCTTTATTACTACGATTCATCCCCCTCCAAACATGACCATTAAGCTCATTGTTGTATATATTCTTCATCTCGAAGCCTCCATTTTATTAGATATTTTCTCAATATTTAAAGCAAGGAAAGGGGTTTTGGGGTTTTGGGGTTTTGGGG